ATACATAAAAACCATATATACACATAAATACACACATTTTATATTGTTGTTGTTGTTAGCTGTTGTCGAGTCAAGTATCACTCATAGTGACCCTATGAACAAAAGATCTGAACCTTGCCCATCCTGTGCCATCCTCACACTTACTGACACACAAGGGCCCACTGCAGCTGTCACCAGATCAATATACTAGGTCGAGGGTCTTCTCTCCTTTGCTGACCCTCTACCACATACACATTTATATATTTACATAAATATTTTCTTTTTTTTTTTTTAAAAAAAAAAGCTAATCACGTGTAATATGGCCACTTTTAGGTGAATGCATGTGTGCACTTATCTTGTCCCAAGCCCCACCGTCCCTGTACCCTTCCCATGTCACTCCATGTTTCTCCTGGGCTTTGTATTTATCACAAACTTACTGAGTGCTAGCATTTTTAATTAGCTAATTTCTGAGTGCAAGCATTTTTAATAAGTGAATTTCAGTAACATCAAGAAACAATTCTATGAAATAATTTTGGAAAAACAAAGCTTCAAATGGAAACAGTCTTCAAATATTCCTTCCTTGCATTGCTGGCATGAGCTCTTTCACTTCTGGATAGTCTGCTGGTATTACAGATAAATTTATTTTAAAACTTTTTGGGGCACATTTTTGGCACATTTCTTTCTCGATCTTTTTTTGGGGGGTGAGGGTTGGTGTGATACTTACTCTGACCCTCTCCATTTGAGTGCTAAATGGGTACAGCAGTTCAAACAGTATCAGGCCTAAAGAGAAGATGTCCACTTTGTGAGAGTAGCTATTTCCATTGATCTGAAAGTTCACACAAAGAATAAATAGACAAAAGACATTAATACAAAGATGATGTATTTGGTACTCTTGCATTTGTACAATTCTGTTTACTTACTCCCTGCTTTAATTGTAACTGTCTCTGTAAAAAATGTCAGCAAAGAGTTAATAGCCTTCAAGTTCCTTTGCTTCAACTCAACACACCAAAGTGTAATTAAAGTGCTACGCATTACAGAAGGAAAGTGGGGTCCAGCTCAGAGATAGATATCAGTCAAATGACCAGCAGAGGCCTGGAGCCTGGCCCCTGAGGTGAAGTTTTTCAAAGCAAGCACTATCTGAGACAGATCTCTCATTTCCAGTCATTCTAGTTCTTAGCCATTTTTATGAGAAGTCATTACTGTAACCACTAATCAGGAGAGCTCAGTCTTATAGTGTCCCTTAATTATGGATTGCTCTGCATTCTTACTTGTATTTTTCATATGCATATTTCTTACTCTTCAGCTAGATTATAAAGTCCTGGAGGAAACTTCTTTTGCATTCCCATCATCCAGCAATGTGCTAAGTATAGAGAAGGCCCTCCATAAATACTCTGGTAAAGTGAACAAATGAAATAAATTACAGCTCTATTAAACAGAGCCTTATTAAAATTAAAAGTGACCTCCTGGGAGACTGGGACCTTTTATTAGTGAATGTTACTCTCAGGCACAGGTGAGCATTTTTTAAGGGGTGGGGCTGACAGCTGCAGAGAAGCTGCCAGAGGTTCAGGTCGTTGCAGTAAACTGCACTGGACGGGTGGGTGCCTGTCCCTGGGCATCTCTCTTCTATGCAATCAGCTTCCTGGGTAATCAGGTGCTCCCTAACATCTGATGGGAAGTCTTAGCAATCCCCATAGCTGCAACACTCTCCTCCCTTCTAAGTGATTACAGCTTTTTGATTCCTCTCTTACCTCTCTTCCTTGAGGCTGGGGAAGTAGTCAGAGTAAATATGTTTAAAACAACACTTAACACTGCCTTGAATTTGATTCCAGCTCATAGTGACCCTTAATCTTTATGGGAGAAGATAACTTCTTTTTCTCCTGTATAGCAGCTATAGATTTAAAACAGCCAACCTTTTATTTAGAAGCCCAACACTTAACACACCAGGGCTCCTCATAGGGATGTTGTTGTGCTGTTGAGTGCTTGCAACTCATAGCGACCCTGTGAACAACAGATCTGAATCCTGTTCTGTTCTGTACCATGCTCACACTTCCTGACACACTTGAGTCCATTGCTGTAAGTCACTTTGTTAATCCACCTGTTTGAGGGTTTTCCTCTCTTTGACCATCAGAGAATATAAATTAACATGATTTCATGAAAAGAACTTATACTGTATCTCATACACACATTAACTGCCACTTAATTATCCCACTTCAACTACCCTAAGGCATAAGGTATTGCGGACAAGGATCTGTGTACAAAGAGAGCTAATCAAGAACAAAATTTATAAGGTACTAAATAAAGCACCCCGAAACATGCTGAGTAAATTTATTAAAAGAGAAATTAAATTACCACCATAGCCAAAAAGCTTTCCTAAGAACAACAGAATTGTTTATATTTTCAAGTATTACAAACATGTTGTGAGGAGGGACCGGTCCCTGGAGAGGGATATCATGCTTGGGAGGGTGGAGGGACAGCGCAGGAGAGGAAAGCCCTCTATGAGGTGGATTGATTCAGTGACTGGAGTAAGGGGGGGAGGTGTTGGAGACAGTGCGATTGGCACAGGACAGAGCGGAGTTTAGGGCTGTTGTACATAGGGTCGCTATGAGTTGCAAGCGACTCGATGGCACATAACAACAACAACAACAACATACACAACATTTTACAAAGTAGAACATCAATTGTCAGTTTCAAATAAGGTATGTACAAATGAATAATGAAATAAGGTATGTATAAATAAGAGAAATATATACATATAGAACTAATCACTGTGAATGATTTTTAATAAGTAAATAAAGTAAACATAGTTAAGAATCAAACAAATCAGAAATGACCATTTCTCTTAAAACTAACTCTGAAGCAGTAAAAAGGTAATTAATTTACCCGCTTGGCATTTAAGCATATCTTTAAATGTTCTATGTGACAAACAGGAGTACTCCTAAGGCATTCCTGTCCCTACTGAAATATAATTGCAGCACTTGTTTCACTGAGTTCTAAAATGGGCTAGTCATTCTCTTAACAGGATGCCATTCTAACTGTGAAAAACACTGGGGAGATAAAGTAAAGTTATTCAGACTTGGGTCTGACTGCCTGCCACTTTGCAAAGTGGAACAAAGTGGAGACAGCAGCTCCTGGGAAGCTGGCAGTGTTTGGTGCAAGAATAAAAGTTGAGCTTTCAAGTGAAAATTAAGAGTTCTTACTGTAACTTGATGGCTTTCTAATCCTTACAGTTGTTTTTTTTTTGAGAAGCTCATGAGATTAATGTGATCTTTGTAGGATGTGATGAACTGAGACAGCAGTCAGCATGGGGAAGAGATGAGCAACTCAAGGAACTAATGGCCTCAAAATAACCAACGTGCAGTGTTGTAAAATTATGACAAAATAAAGGTCATTAAAAATGCAGGATGGATCACAGGATACTAAGGACACAGAGCATGAAACGGCTGTTAAGACGGTGTTGCAGTCCACTTGGCGAGCTCTGGTAACTTCAGAGAGCATCCACAGCTACCTGAAAAGGATATAGAAACCTTCTTCCCTTACTCAACCTAATACTGATGTATTTTCTTCATAGCCTTTCACCAAACAACTTACGGTAAAAGGAGCAGATATGAGAATTCAGCTTTTTAAAGGATTTTTTGGAGGAAGGAGATATAAAATGCTTATTAGAGATCAAACACTATGAAAAAAAGATAGGAGGCAGAACCAAACCACAGAAGAAGCCTCACATGATAAAAACACCACAAACTTTGCATTAAGGCACAGAACTCTGCAGGAAGTGGTGCCAGTCAATTTCTGCCACTCAGTCACCAGATGTGGCATCTCACAAACCTCACACTAAGGTCCAGGACTCTGCAGGCAGTGATGCTGGTCAGTCTATGCCACTCAGTCACTGGATGTGGGCATCCTTGCAATGACAGGATCTAGAGACAGCAGGTCAGCCCTTGTCAGCATGGAGACCAACTCTGCTGGGCCGAGGGCGAGGGGCTGCCTACTGCCCAGGCTCTTTAAGATGAGCAAAAGTAAGAAAAGTGCAACAATGAATGAATGAAAATCCAAAATCTCTGCAAATTTTCATTAAAATTCATTTTAAAAAAAGATGAGCAAAAGTAGACGGTGTCTTGGGTAGGATTAATTGTCAGGCTGCTAATTGAAAGATTTTTAAAAAATAGAAGCAGATGCTTTTGTCATTATTTTTACTTTGTTTTGTAAAATACTCATTTTTCACAAAAGAATAGGTGAAGATGTTTTGGATTTAAAACCCATTTTAAAGTGAACTTATGAAATTTTACATACTTTTCAGTTTTAATTTCTAATATGGCAAATGCTGATAGACCAAATCTTTTTTTTTAAGAAACCAACTCTTTTGTCTTCTAAACAACTTTTATGATTATAAGTGATTGTTGTTGTTGTTGTTGTTGTTGTTATGTGCTGTTGAGTCACTTGTGACAAGAATCCTAAACCCTGCTCTATCCTGTGCCAACTTCACTGTCACTGACACACCTGCTCCCACTACCCCAGTCACTGAGTTGATTCATTTCATCTTCCACTTTTGCGCTGCCCCTCCTCCATTCCAAACATGATGTCCCTCTCCAAGGACTGGTTCCTCAACTAAAAAGTATGAGCACTGCTAGCCCGCAAGTGTGCACTGTAAGCTTGGCACAGTCTGACAGTGCTGGTCTGGGCGTCCAAAGCCCCAGGCAATCTAATTCAGCACTGTTCCTCTGGACACCCAGAATCACAGACTTACTTCCTGTCCTGGTCTGGAATCTTACCGCCTCTGCTTTGGGCCCTGGCTGCCCTGAACTCTGGAATTCACAGAGGTGAGTCTTTTTGCTGGTTGCTTTGGGTTCTGCTCCAGAGGATGAGGTGTGTTGTCTATTATTTCTCTTTATCTATCCCCATTTCAGGAGCAGAAATTGTATCCTAGCTGCTGACTGTTGATGACAGTCAATTTCTACATTTTATTCTCTTGGCTATTTTAACAAGGCAGGAGATAGATCAGGTAAAACTAGCTCACTACTCTGTAAATTAAAAGTCAGTTTTTAGTTCAGAAGGAAGGGGCACAGCTAATAATCAGACTCACCTGCTCTGGACTCATGTAAAGCTTGGTCCCCACTTGTCCTGTGTGCCTGGCATAGACTGGCATTGGAGTCAGGGCCGCTTGCTCTTCTTCATCTTGGTCCATTGCAGTCACTAGGCCAAAGTCCCCAACCTTTACCACATCATCCATTGTAAAGAATATATTGGAAGGCTGGAAAAACAAAGGAGAAAAGCAGATACTGGGTATGTATTAAGGATAGAAAAGTATAAGGAGTGAGTTCAATGACCTACATGCTGTTAGTTGGCTACTCGTCAATGATGACTCACAGCAATTCCAGGCACATTAATCTGAAACTTGCCCTGTCCTGCACCATCCTCACCATCTTTGATATGTTTGAGCCCCTGGTACAGTCACTGTGTAAATCTATCTCGTGAAGGGTCTTCCTCTCTTTCTCTGACTCTCTTCTTTCCCAAGGATTGGCCCTCTCCTGACAACATGCCCCAAGTATGGAGAGGAAGCTTCACCATCCTCACTTCTAGGGGCACCCGGTCACTCTTCCTCCAGACTTACAGGATTAAAGAGGGAAACCAAATCTGACACCAAGATATTCTGGAGCACGGTGCTCTCCAAACAGACTCCAATAAAACCCCCAGGTATTAGCATCCACTCATCATCCACTTAAAGACCTACACTTCTGGGAACTCTTAACTTTTTTTTTCCTAAATACTCCCCCCTTAGGTAAGCTTTTCTACATTTATAATTCAGATCATAATAATTACAATGACAACAAACCAAAAATATCTACTGCTATTGAGAAAATTCCAACTCATGGGACACTCTGGGTTTTTCTATTTTAATCTATTATTTTATTTTCGCTACCAGATTGCGGAAGCAGTCAGTTTTTTACATGAGGAGACTGCCTAGTCCTCCCAAGGAGCAGTTGGTAGAATGTGTGTGCGTCACCCTGGCTCTAGGACTGCCTAAACCAATCTAAGGAAACCATCCTCCGGAAAACGTAAAGAGCTTACCTACCTCATCACTTCGAAAAACATAACAGAAAAACAAAACATATACCCCTGAGAACAGCTGATTGTTACCTCGAGAAGGAGGCCACCTGAGAATGGAAACACAACAATGCAGCAGTAGAAAGTGGGAGAGTAAGAAAACCAAGTTTTGTCCACATTATGGATCTTTATGTGTCACTGAGAGACCCTGACTAACAAACAGCACACAGCCCTGCAGGGATCCTCAGCTGTGTCTTCCTGGGAGCAGATTATCAGGTGAGCTGCAGACTTCAGCCAGCAGAGCAGAATGCTTATTAATCAGAGCCACCAGGCCTCTCTCACTTCCTCCATGACAGAGCTCTACCTGGATCCTGAATAGTTTGGTTCCAGGAGCCAAAATGTAAATCAACAGGTTTTCAGAGGCAAATGCTCCGGAAGCACAGCACCAGGGCTTTGTTTTCAGGCAGCTCTGGGTCCTGAACTCCTAAACCTTTGAGCTGGCCATGCCTTCCAATAGTAAGTATGTTAACCTTACGTCCTACAACTGAGAAGATTCCGTACTAGGTGATTTATTTTATATTTTGGCTTTACAAAATATAACTAAGTAACAATTATTTTGGAAAACAGGAATTATTTCACATTCTTATCCTGGTTAACCCAGATTCTTAAAATGGTTTGAAAACCGACTATCGATTTAGAAGAAAATATTTTTTGCCCAAATAGCAATGTTGGTAAGGAAGCTCTGGTGGCTTAGTGACAAGAAGCAGTGCTGCTATCCCAAAGGCACGGGATTCCAGGCCACCAGCTGCTGTGTGGGAGACATATGGGCAATCTCCTCCCGTGCGATTAACTGCTTCTGAAAACCCACTGAAGGGTCAGGTATGGGTTGGTTCAGACTCTATGGTATACAACAATAACAAAGCAACACTGGTATCTTAAAGAAAAGTTTGTGGCTAAGACAAAAGTGAAAATACTAAAAATGGGTCCACATCTATCAGGAATTCAAGCTACTTTGACCAGAAACACACATTCAGTACACATCGACAGCATACAGAACTTAGTCAAAAAAATGTTAAAAATGCTTATTTTAAAAAAAAACATTCTAGGGAAATGCTGTGTGCTTTAGGGAGATTCTTACGCAATTTTTATTAGATTATGGTAATATTGAGTACTATATATATGGAAAATATATAAGTGTCGCGGACTCCCCTTCATAAGGTAGCTATGAGTCGCCTATGACTTGACGGCACTTAACAACAACAACAACATATATATGGAAAACAGAATCAAAGAGTTAGAGGTGCAGTCATTTGCTACCTTTTTCTATCCATTTTCCCACCACTGACCCCACACCTCAGTTCAGAGATAGAAGAAAACCACAAAACACCAAAGGATTTGCTCTAGTTCAAAGCTGGCTAAATCAGGAGCCCATCTTGACTTCCACCTGGGGCCCTTCCCCATGTTCCTTCAGGGTCCACGGGAAACCTGTGTGTAACAGAAAGCCATATAATAAATAGAGTATGCCTGCCTATTCAAGGTGAACTGCCCATGAAGAGTATTTTTCCTTTTGTTTTCTAAGAGAGCTAGGAATGTCCTTTACAGTAAAATGAACATAAAATGAACATATAGTCACATTACAGAGTAGAATATATGATTTGGCTAAGATTTTCAAAGTGTAAGTCTTCTAATTTCTGCAACAGGTCACTTGAGACTACTTAAACCAGATCCTTGCTCCCTAGCATCTTCTCTTCCCTGCTCTTGATGGCTCTTCAGCAAATCCTATTCTGAACCATATAATGAAACCCTTGTTCATGTGCCATGGGTACCAACCTTCAGGTCCCTGTGCATAAGCCCCTTGCTGTGCAAAAACTCCACGGCCTCTGCAATCTGCAGGAAGATGTGCAGACACATGGTCCTCTCCCTGTCCTCAATGGTGCAGCGCCCGTTCATCCAGTCCTTGAGGTTCTCTTTCCTGCATAGCTGCATCTGGATGTACAGATAGACCTTTGGTGAACTGGGCTGTAGTTTTTCAGCAGTGGTTCTTGTGAGATCTAAACTTAAAGTGGTTGGTCTAGGAGGAGAAATCGACAAAGTTGGTTCAGAAGATGTGCTACTGGAATGCTTGAAGTCAGTTAGTTTATTAGCACAGTTGCCAATTCGCAGCCGGTCTGTTTTAAGCTCTTCTTTCCTGAAGGCATTATCACAGCCTGAATCCTCAAATACTATAGAAGAGGAAGTCCTCTCCCGTGACCTGATAGAAGAGGCTTCAGAAGGAAGGGGCTGGAAGGAATGCTCCTCTTCATAGCCGTCTAGTGTCCCATCTTCCACTTCACAGTCTGTTAGGCAACTGTCCTGTAGGTTGTATGCTCGGTCAGCACCCGACAAGTCCAGAGGTGTGAGCTGACTGCTGGATGAACTTGTCTGGCCACAGGAAATCCCTACTGAGAAAGATCTACTTCTTCGTGGAGAATGAGCTATGATTTCAATACGTTCTTTTGTAGAGAATGGGTCCATCTGGCGTATTTTCACGGATGGTACATCCATCGGGCTCGGAGAGCTAAGGGGCCAATCTGTGCTGGAGATGGGAGAAGTACAAACCGTATGTGTATAAATTAATGTTTGAAGTATATCTTTTGTCTAAAAAGCCTCAACTGTAATTAAACTAATTTCCAAATGATCAACAACATACAGGTAATAGAAAAAGCACTATATGGCAGCTTCGCATGATCCTAAAGAATGGTTGCTGTTCACTTGACCCAGAAAACCTTACCAAGTCATGCCTATTAAGAGGGTCAAATCTCCAGTCCCATTTTAAGAACCCTGTGAAACTTCCCCTGGCAAGGTGGGTGCCCACATCTGAACAGATGCCAAGTATCTGAGACATCTCTTTGGAGAAACAGCATTGCAATGCTGAACTTGCCTTGGGTGCCCAGGTCAAAAAGTGGGGCTGGTCACAAAAAGAGTGCTGAGTTTTTGCTGCACACACTTAAATACAGACAGAAATGCTTTATCTAGGAATAAGATAGGGATTCTCTGGTCATTGGGCTAAGCCAGGTGAACAAAGACCACAAGAAAGAGGCACACAGCTCACAGTCAGTGCAGGGCCCAATCATGGTGAGACTCTCCTCTTAGGAATGAACAAACTTTCTGAACTACAAGAGAAGGCTGCATAGAAGAAAAGGATGTTGCAGAAATTCAGAGTAAATCCAGCTTAAACTAAAACAAGTCCAAGTAAAGGGTGTAGGTGTGTAAGAGGGGGGAAAAGATTACATTCCTTATAAAAATTTACATGAGAATATTCAATTTTATACTTGAAACGGTCACCTGGAGCTGTCATGCGAGATGACTCAGAGTGTTGTGTGAAAAAGAAGAGACTGAAGGATTAAGAGAAGGCTACTTGGAGACCAGAATTCTGAAACTGCTGTTGGCAGGGTAGCAGCCCACAGGGAGCCACAGGAGCCCACCTCACTTGGCCTTTTTCACAGCTCAGGTGCCAGCTTGGCTCTGCATATGCAGCAAGGTGCAAGACATGTATCTAGCATGTATCCAATGTATTTGTCAGTTCTTCTAGAAAGGTGTTTTATTCCAGCTGTTTTTGAAAATAGTCTATGTGCAGTCTGTATTCTTTTTGTTCTAATTTAGTACTTTTAAAAACGTCTCCTTAGATAGCATATCTTTATATAGGATCATATGGGAAATGTCTTCAGGTTAACTAAAATTATGTACTTAAACTGAAAACAGTTTCAAACTACTTAAAAAAGGGAGCTCTGGTGGCCTAGTGGCAAGACAGTGCACTGCATTCCCAGAAGTATGCAGTTCAAATCTACCAGATGCTCTGCTGGAGAAGGAGGGGGCAATCTCCTTCTGTACGTCAGATCTGATTTGACGGTACACGTAAAAATAATACAATAAAAATTAGAAAAAAGAACCTACTTAAAAAGGAGTTGCAAATTGTTCAATGCTAAGAAGGAAAAAAACTCTAGTATTTTTAAAGAGTGGAAACAAATGAAAACACACGCCACCTTGTACTAAAAAAGTCACAGCACATCTTTCAGTGAGTTACAAAGTCACTCAGCTCTATCAGTTCAACATTCTTAACATTCTTGTTCTCAAAGACTAAATTCATTACCAAGTTGCTAGAGAGCCTTGCAAAACATGATGATAGAGACCAGAAACTTTCTGTTCTTTGCATTAAAAATATCTCTGAAGTTATAAAATTTACATTTTGTTCACTGAATGAAAAACTAGCCAAAAGGAAAATATTAGTCTTTAAGACTATGTCTGCCAAAGTTACCTTTCATCTTTCAGCCAGATTTCATCCATCTTTTCTTGCCATTTCTCTGGTGGTGTTTCCAACCAGGCATTGAAATACCTAACAATTCCTGGGTGTTCCAGCTTGGCTAAAGCTTTAACTTCTCTCATTACTTTTTCCCGAGCCAATTCTCTGAAATGGAGAAAAAAGAAGACACTGAAGGTTGCTCATATTCACAGGAGTAACCATATTCCACCGTTGAAACATGGAAACAATAAAATTCTTCCCTGAATCCAAAATTAGAGCTTGATGAGTTTACTTAGTGATCCTGGGGGTGGTCACGGGGCTGCTCTGAGTCCTAATGGATAGAGGGCACATAAGAACAACAAGTTCTGCATTTATGTTATGCAAATGTTTTTCTGTTTTTTCTTCTGGAAATAAGTAATAATCTACAAGCTCACTAATCGAATCACTAAAATAAAGTTTTCTTAGATGATTAAGAAATCATTTTAGATATAATTAGCAAGCTCTGGTGGTCTAGTGGTAAGAAACTGTCCTGCAACCCCAAAGGCATGCAATTCAGAGCCACCTGCTGCTTTCTGGGAGAAGGATGGGAAATCTCCTCCTGTGCAATTAAGTGCCTCTAAAAATCCTTTGGAGGGTCTGCTATGGGTCAATTCCAACATGTGAAAGCAAAAAACAACAACAACAAGAGAGGTTAACATTCCAAGCTCAAGAGAATAGGTGAAGACCACACAAAAGTATATATATAAAAATCTGAAAAAGGACAGGCACTATTGTGTGTTAGTCTGCAGCAAGTCTTTGCTAGTGAGTATCACAAGAAGCTTTCCTTCCTTCAGTTAGGTCTGTTCTTTCTTCAAGAGAAACATTTAACAAAGGCAAGGAACAGGTTATCATCTTCCTTTCTCTGTACTTATTTAAGTCCTTGTACAAAAGTCTCTAAGTGCTACAGATTTCTTAAGGGCAAAAGCTTAAGTTAATTTTTATATCCTATGTGGAACATAAGGATATTTAACCTACTCAAAAGTTATGCACCAAAGGTAAAGGAGTAGTTCCCTAATACCTAAACCATCAACAAGGATTTCTAAGATTCTACTTGCAATTAAAACATTCAACTACCAGTTAGAAGGGCAGCACAGCAATTAGCACACATACAATCAAGAATCATTAAGAGTCATCTATGGGGGGAAGGGTGGGCAGGGAGAAAAATGTAACAATGAATGAATGGAAATCCAAAGTCTCTGTAAACATTCATTAAAATTAATTATAATAAAAAAACAGGAAAAAAAGAGTCATCTATCAAGATGAGAAAAGCAATGCTGAAAGCCCATTATCTTAAGCATCACATATCAGTCAGTAATTCTACTTCATGTAAGATCTATGCCAGGAAACAGAGTAAGTAAAAAAGTTTACATAAAAGATGAATACTGCAAAGGTATCTTTCATTGCATTGCAATATTAGAAACCTAAGTGCTAACAATAAGAGACTGTTAAAAAAATATGGCACATGCATTAGGCTGGACTACTGTCTAGTCATAAAATATTTTAAATATATCTTAACATGAAAAATTCCGATAATACCGTGAAAGGAAGCAACAGGGCAAACCTGTATGGTGCTGATATATACACTACAAACAATATCAATTTAAGGCTAGATAAGAAATCATTAATGATAGTATACACAGAAAACCCCAAGGACTCAACAAAAAAGCTGTTACAGCTAGTGGACCAATTTAGTCAAATGGCAGGCTAGAACATCAATATCCAAAAATCAGTAGTACTTCTCTACCATAACAAAGAGAACTCAAAGAAGGAAACCAAGAAAGCAATGCCATTTACAATAGCCAACCACAAATTAAGATACTTGGGAGTAAACCTAACAAGAGACACAAAAGATCTATACAAAGAACACTACAGAACGTTTCTGCAAAACAAAAAGAAAAAGACCTCAATAAATGTGAAAATGTATCCTGTTCATAGATAGGAAGACTCAATATTGTGAAAATGATAATCCTACCAAAAGCAATCTATATGTTCAATGCAGTCCCTAGACAGATACCAAATTCATTTTTCAGGAGATGGAAAGGGAAATTGTCAATTTTATTTGGAGAGGAAAGAGATCCCAAATAAGCAAAGCACTTTTGAAAAACAAAAACGATGCATAGCACTTCCTGACCTCAAAACCTACTACACAGCAGTAGTAACCAAAACAGCTTGGTATAACTGGTACAATGGCAGGCACACAGACCAATGGAACAGAACTGAGACCCCAGAAATGGAGCTATCAATATTCAACAAGGAAATAAAACCTATCAAATGGGGAAATGGCAGCTTCTTCAACAAATGGTGCCGGCAAAACTGGAATGTCACCTGGAGAAAACTGAAGCAGGATCCACATCTCACAAAATTAACTTGAGGTGGATCAGAGACCTGGGAGTAAAGCTCAAAACCATCAAGTTCGTAAGAGACAAACTGGCATCAAGCTTAGATGGCCTAGTCTATGGTATAAGGAGACTGCCAAACATAGCCAGAAATGCACATTCTAGAGAGGATAAAATTGATGAATGGGACCTTCTAAAGATGAAATACCTGTGTGCAACAAAACCATTTTCCAAAAGAGTGAAAGAAAACCTCCTAACTGGGGAAAAAACCATTTAGCTATACCATTTCAGACAAGGGGCTCATATCAAAAGTTTACAGAATCCTATAGGACCTCCACAAGAAAAAGACTAATAACACAATTACAAAATGAGCAAAAGACATGAAAAGACTTTTCACAGAGGAGGACATTTGGACAGCAAACACATGAGGAAATGCTCTAAATCACTGACAATAAGAGAGATGCAAATCAAAACCACAATTAGATAGCATTTCACTCTAGTACCAGTGGCAAAACTTAACAGGATGGCAAATAATAAATGCTGGAGAGGAGGTGGTGAGATAGGAACTCTTATACTCTGTTGGTGGGATTACAAAATGGTACAACCACTCCGAAGGGCAGTTTGGTGTTTCCTCAAAAAGCTGAACATAGAAATTCCGTGTGACCCAGCTATTCTATTGCTTGGAATATACTCCAAAGAATGAGAAGTGAAGCACAAATGGAGACTTATACACCAATGTTCATAGCAGCCTTTTTCACCATCACAAGAACAAAGAAACAGCCCAAATGTCCAACCATAGTCTAATGGATTGAGAAATTATGGTACATTCATACATGGAATATTATGCATCACACAAGAGCAATGATTTTGTAAATCACTATCTAACTTGGAAGGGACTGGAGAGCATTATGTTAAGTGAATTAACTCAGTCCCATAAGGACAAATACTGTATAAGACCATTACTGTAGAATATGTATGAGGATCCAAGGTGGGGGCAGTGAGAGTATAGATAGAAGTGAGGATGGACAGGGGTGGTTAATCATAGGGTCACACAATTTGATGGGTGAAGGGAAGGAGTGGGTAAAGGAAATGGTAAAGATCTGCTGTGAGAAACAACACCTATCAACTTTGTAAGTAAACCAGTATAAAATAAAAATTTTATTTAAAAAATCATTAAAAGGAAATATTCTAAAGTATAAATGGTTATTAGTGGATTAGTGAATACAAACGCTTTGATAGTTTATTTTTTACAATAAAAGATTATTCTCTCTTTTTTTGATAGTGGGGGGGTTGTTGTTAGGTGCTGTCAAGTACAACTCAGAGCGACCCTATGAACAACAGATCTGAACCCTATACTATCCTGTGCCATCCTCACAAGCTCTGACACACTCAAGTCCTTTGTTTCAGTCACCAGATCAATCCATCTCATTAAGGGTCATCCTCTCCTACACCTTCCCTGCACTTCCCAATCATGATGTCCCTCTCCAAGGAATAACCTCTCCCAGCAGCATGCCCAAAGTATGTGAGACAAAGCATTATCACTTGTGTTTCCAAGGAGCATTCTGGCTGCACATCCTCTAGAACATATCTGTTTGTTCTTTTGACAGTCTATGCAATATCATGATAGACAGAGAAGAGACTGAGATTGTTAACAGAGTCAGCTTGCTTGGCTCCACTTTTGGTACTAGCAGCCAAGAAATAAAAAGATAAATTGCACTGGAAAAATCTGCTGTCAGGGACCTCTTTAGAATACTGAAGAGCAATGGTGTCAGTCTAGAGCCTAAAGTATGCCTGATTCCAGCCATGGTCTTTGTGATGACTTGCTAAGCACCAGAGAGCTGGACAATGAATAAGGATGACAGAGAATTGATGCCTTTGAGTTGTGGTGCTGGATAAGAGTAGTGGACATACCATGGACTGCTAAGACAACAAACAAGTCTGTCCTGCAGAGGGTGAAACCAGGCTGCTCCCTGGATGCAAGGATTTTGAAAATCCATTTCACATACTTTGGGCATGTTGCAAGGAGGGACTAGTCCCTGAAGAAGGATATCATGTTTGGAAGGGTGGAGGGACAGCACAAGAGAGGAAGACCCTTGATAAGATGGATTGACACAGTGACTGGGGTAATGTGGGTAGATGTGTTGGAGACAATGAAACTGGGTCAAGATAGAGCTGTTGTACATGGGGTCACAATAGGTCAAGTTCAGAGCTGTTGTACATAGGGTCACTATGAGTCACAAGTGACTCAACGGCACATGACAACAACAGGATATTCAGGATTCTTCTCTAATACCATACTCAAAGGCATCAATTTTTCTTCTGTTAACCTTATTCATTGTCCAGCTCTCAGATGCATAGCAAGTGATTGAAAAAACCTTGGCCTGAATCAGGTACACCTAAATCCTCAAACTGAAATAATTACTCCTCAATAATTTGGAGAGATCCTTTACTGTAGACTATTCTTGATGTAATGTGTCTCCTAATCTCCTGACTGCTAACATCAAATGTATTGATTGTGGATCCAAGTAAGATGAAGTCATTGACAGTCTCTCTATCCTTTCACCGCCCATCATGATGTTGCCTATTGGTCCAAGGGGGAGGATTTTTGTTTTCTTGACATTGAGATGCAATCCATGTTTGAAGGTTTCAGTGTTTAACCTTATGCAGCAAGAGCTTCAAGTCCTCCTCACTTTCAGCGAGCAAGGTTGTGTCATCTGCACAATGAAGGTTATTTCCACAAATGCAAATGAAAATGACAATGTGATACCACTTCAAGTCCACTAGCATGGTTATTATAAGTAAAACATAAAATAACAAATGGTGGTGAGGATGTGGAGAAATTGGAACTTCTTCCCCTGCTGATAGGAATATAAAATGGTGCAGCTACTATGGAAAACAGTTTGCTAGTTCCTCAAAAAGTTAAACACAAAATTATCCCTTGACCCAACAACCCCTTATTGTCCAGCTCTTGGATGCATTAATAAGTGATTTTAAAAAGACCATGGCCTGGATTAGGTACACCTCAATCTTCAAACTGACATCACTATTATAAAATATTTTGGAGTGGTTCCTGACAATGAACTTTCCCAGAGCACTATGTCTCCTGATCTCCTGACTGCTGGTACAAGATGAGATCATTCACAATTTCAATTCTTTCTCTACTTATCATGATGTTTCCTATTGGCCCAATTGTGAGGACTTTTATTTCTTGATGTTGAAAATGTAATCCATATTGAAAGCTGTAATCCTTGATCTGAAGGTTGAATCCTTGCTGTTCTGCATCAAGCTTTCTAAGTTCTCACTTTTCAGCAAGCAAGGTTGTCATCTGCATAACACAGGTTGCTGATGAGTCTACCTCCAATCCTGATGCCACATTCCTCTTCAGAGTCCAACTTCACAAATGATTCTGAACAGGTATGGAGAATCAGTTTAACCCTGACATATCCCTCCTGACAAAGTATGTGATACAAAATTGCACCATTTTTCCCCCCTAAGGAGCACCCTGGTTACACCTCTTTCAAAACAGACTTGTTCTTTTGGCAGCCCATGGGATTTTCTTACATGTTGGAGAAAGTACTGAATATCTCATGGACTGCCAAAAGAAGAAACAGATACATCTTAGAGAGGGTGCAGCCAGAGTGTTCCTTTGAGGCAAAGATGAAGACACTTCATCTCATATACTTTGGGCATGTTGTCAGGAGAGGGTATTCCTTGGAAAGAGACATCATGCTTGGAAAGGTGGAGGGTCAGTGAAGAGGCAGACTCTCAACCAGATGGATTGACACAGTGACTGCAACAATGGGCTTGAGTGTGTCAGTGATGATGAAGATGGCACAGGATAGAACAAGGTTCAGATCTGTTGTTCATAGAGCCACGGAGAGTCTTGCTCAATTCGATGGCACCTAATTCACAACAAGAAGCACCAATAATCCCATTCCCAAACAGTACCCTAAAAAAAAAAAGAAAGAAAGCAGGAATGCAAATGGTTCCTTTATATCAATGTTCACTGCAATACTATTCACAATACTCCAAACCTAAACATTCATCAACAGATGAAGAGATAAGCAAAGTTTTCTTTAAAAAAAAAAAGACTCACTCTAATGAGTCAGTTCCGACTCTTTGCAACCTCCACTGGGTCTCCTAGTTTGTAAACTGCAGCAGAAGAAACTTTCCTGTGGAGTGGCTAGTAGATGTACCCTGCCACAGACACACAGGCCTCTGTATCTGCAGCACCTTGCTCTGGCTATGCCACCAGCTACTCCCAGTCAAACGTCTAATACACGTAAAATCTGATATTATTCAGTCATAAAGAGAAGTGATGCTCTGACACACACGAGCATAGGTAGGCACTGCATGATTTAAACTTAAATTAACAAGAGGCAGATACATAGAAACAATAGTGATCACCAAAGGCTGGCAGGAGAGGGAAAGGGAGTTACTGTTTACAGGGTTAAGCGTTCCTATCATGGGTGATAAAAAATATTTGGAAACGGATGGTGGTGAATGTAATACAACATGATGAATGGCAGTAAATTACAGTTTTTAAAAGGGCAAATTATTTTTTTGACTGGGCCAGGCTGGTGATCTGTGACTCCTGAGGGGGTTCAGTCACAACAATCCTGTATTACCAGACTCAGCAGTCCTCCAGCCTCAGCCTCTCAAGCAGCTGGGACCACAGGCAGGTGCCACCACATAAATAAAAAAATACCTTACCACAATAAAATGAAGAAAGTAAAATAGAAGAGCAAGGCTAGATTTTCTTTAAGTAGATGCCAAGGAATCTAAACAGATTCTGGTGCACTTAAAACCTAAGATTCTAAAGATCAAAAACTGGTTGTTATTATTATTAATTTTAATGAAAATTTACAGAGACTTAGGGTTTCCAGTCATTCATTGCTGCACTTTTCTCCCTGCCCACCTCCCTCCCCCAATTCACTCTTCTCCTTGAAAAGTAAAAGAAAAACTCTTTCATTGTTATACAATCCCTCCTCCTAAGTCCACTCCACTGTGCAGCCTTCATTCTGGACTCCTGTCATGACAATAACACCCAATTATATATTCTTTTTAAACAGTTCTCTCCCTCATCTGTTTCAATGCAGTATACATCATTCCTCCCCTCCTTCTCAGTCTCCCCCCAACCCCGAGGTCAGTCCCATTTTACAACAGTGGCATTATGCAGTATTTGTTCTTTTGTGACTGGGATTCTTCACAGCATAATGTCCTCCAGGGTCACCCATTTTGCTTAATATTTCATGAGTTCCTTGTTTTTTCAATGCAGCATAGTATTCCATTGTGTGACTATACCAGAGCTTCTCTATCCATTCGTTTGTTGATGGGCACTTGGGTTGTTTCCAGCTCTTTGCTATTGTGAACAAAGCCACAATAAACATGGGTGTGTATATATCTGCTTGGGCAGTGGTTATGGTTTCTTACACAAACGTTTTTATAGTTACTATTGAATGTAGAGCTTTTTAGTAAATAGAGATGATTAGAGATGAACTTAAAGAGTTAGGATGTCAGTTTAGAGACTAAGATGCACCTGATGCAAGCCAAGGTTATTGTCAACTGCTTCTTATGTATCTGAAAGTTGGACAATATATAAGCAAATATGAAGAAGACTTGATGCCTTTGAATTGTGGTGTTGGAGAAGAATACTGAATATTCTATGGACTGCGAAAAGAACAAACAAGTCTGTCTTGAAGGAAGCACAACCAAGGTACTTCTTAGAGGCAAAGATGGTAAAACTTCATCTCACACACTATGGGCATATTGTCAGGAGAGGATTATTTCTTGGAAAAAGACATCATACTGGGAAATGTGGAGGGTCAGAGTAAGAGAGAAAGACCCTCCACAGCTGAACTGAGACAGTGACTGTAACAATGGGCTTAAGCAGGTTGTGGATGAGGCTGGAGCAGGATAGGGCCAGGGCCAGCCAGGCCTATTGTTCTAATGGTTGCTGTAAGTCGTAGTTAACTAGACAGCACTTAACAAGTATGGACTAGCCTCAATGTGAAGGACTCCTTGTCTATGAGATCCTATCATGCCATTTCCAAGTTTATGAAGAGTGACATTCTTACCTATTGGGTAGACGAATCCTTTTTATAGCATAATTGCAATCATCCACTTTGTTTCTAGCTTCAAAGACAACTCCAAACCCGCCACGACCAAGACACTGAACTGGTTCAAAATCAGTCAGATAACTGGGGGAGAAAAAAAAAATTATAAAAAGAGACAATTTTTAAAAAGTTGTTTTAAATGTTAGGTGCCTGTCAGGTCACTTGTTGTAGTATATAATATGTATATCTAAATTAGGATGTGTAACTTAGTCTCATAGGAATTATTTTCCTAAAAATTGTAGTTTGAATTCTATTAATCTTTTTTGTTCTTCTGTTTGTACAAATAAGAACATATCCTAATATTTAAAAATGTGTGTGATTAATATAATGTCTAATCAACTTCTTATTATGAAATACATTCTACTGTTTCCCCCTAGGAAATATAAGTGATAAGGCTTCTAATTAGGAATCACATGCTTTTACAGTGACTATACAGTCAGTTTGTTCTACCTGTTACTTCCTATAATCTATCAATACATATTCTTAATTCTTTAGCAGATTAGAAAATAATTTTTACATCACTGCTTTCATATTTGAGGGTAAGTATATATCAATCTTATTGTATTTATGTACTTGTTTCCTTACATAAAATTTTTCTTTTACACTGTTACACTGGTTTGCTTACAAAGTTTGCATACATTGCTTTGTTTGTTTGCTTTGGGATTTTCCCCCTATACATTGTTTTCACACTGGATCTTTCCCATTTCCTTTACTGACCCTTCCCTCTACCCATTAAATTGTATACCCTATGATTACTGCCTTTGCCCATCTTGACTCCTCTGCTCCTACTCTCCCCACCCCTTGGATTTTCATATACTTTTTACTATTTATATTTCTACAATAATGGTCTTATACAATATTTGTCCTTATGGGACTGAGTTAGTTCACTGAGCATAATGCTCTCCAGTCCTTCTCAAGTTAGGTAGTGATTTTCAAAATCGCTTCTCCTGCATAGTATTCCACTGTATGAATGTATTATAATCTCTCAATCCATTTGATTGTATTTATTATGTACTTTAGTCAGAAATTTTTCCAGGAATCAATTCTGTGTGACATTAGCTGACTGGTTCATGAGTCAGTCTGCTTCTAGATACCCAGGCTGAAACCATATTGTCACCACCTGTCACTTACAGATGGACCACCACACTGTTCTTTCTTCTTTAGTCTCTGACCTCCTTGGTCTGCTCCGAATCGTCCAGCCAATTCCCACTACTGTCCCTCCAGCATTAGGGGTCCTGTGTCCACTACCTGCTCTAGAAGGACAGCCTGTACTTAATGAACCTCCACCCTTCCAGCATGCTTACCTCCTCACTGATAGCCTTCCTTGACCCCATCCTTGTTTTCCTCTCTACTTCTAGAGCCTGGGCATTACCAGGCAAACAGGAGGACTTTTTTTTTACACATATCTGCTGAACAAGTGCATGCATATTGTGCAGAATATTATAGCTATATGGGGAGAACGATATTATTTCTGTTATCCCTTACAAGGTTAAATTTGTAAGTTATTATCTTCACACTAATATTAATTTAGAAGTAGTTGGCTCAGCTGGTTAGAATCTAAATTTAAGGAGAAGCAGCAATAGGTCCCAACCCTCCATGGGCCAATTACCTTCACAGAGAATGAAGAATAATAACCTATATTCCTAAAAATAGCTACCATGGTACCTATGTGCAAATTCACCTCCCTTACTGCTAAAGGTCAGGAAGCTCAGGTCCTACTCCTAAAGTGCCAACTGAACAATCTTCCTGTATTTAGAAAATTGCTCTATGAAACAAATTTTCTTTTGAAAAGAGTAATATGTTATATAATAATTGTAGATCTCATAAATTACATAAACTTACTTATGTAAAGATCATCTTGTCTAAGATTACAGTTGATAATTAACAAAACTAGGATTTTAATTCACTACTGAATCCAGGGCTCTTAATTGTACCTGAGACCTATTAAAAACTCAATAATATTATATATTATTATTACCATCTCATTACAAACAAAAAACTCAACACCACCTAGAAACTCTTCACACTGCATAAAATTTTTATCTCCCATGTTATTAAAGTATGGTAAGTATGATATCAAAACAGGGGGAAAGTGGCAATAATCCAGGTAATAAGAAACATTAAATCAGCCCCGTTCCATGTAGAATAAAGCATTAGAAGTAATATTGTTCACCTGACAGACTACAAACAGATGCCTTCCTTTTATTTTCATTTCAAATTATTTTAAATGCCTACTTTTTAGCTAACACATACCTCTTTTCCTTCTTCTGCTTTTGAAAATTATCTTCTTAAAAAAATTATCTATTTTATGGATGTACTTTTTTACAAATTTCCATCTATTATTTCAGACAGAATAAAAACATAAATAACTGCAGAATATGAGACTAATCACTCTGATAAAAACAATTACATTTAGTATCATGAAAATCAAGCCAAGTGCACAGCAGATCCTAAGTAACCAGGCTGTCTAAATCACTTAATTTTGTAGTTGAAATCCCTACCTCCTGCGTAACACTCTATTTGTATTCTTCTTGTGATACAAAACACTTTGAGTGAGTTTAAATTACTGGATTGCTAAACCTATATTTTAATCATCCAGTTATATTTTAATCATCTAGTTATTTGCTCATTAAAAAGGTGAAATAAGAGCATACAAATCACTTCTGTTTAGAGTGGCTGTTGCCCAAGATTATAACACAGATAGCATTTTATGGAAGGACTCACCGTGATATATATCCAGAATTTTTTATGTCATTCCAGCTGCTGTCACTGGTGTCGCCACTCACAGAATCATATTTACATTCCGTCTGGCACTGAGTTTCTGATTCCTTTCTTTGCTAGTAAAGTGGAAAAAACAAAACCAAAAAGCACCACTAGTACAAAATGGAAAAAACAAAACCAAAAAGCACCAACTAGTACAAAATGGAAGTTAGCCAGCAATCTTAGGTTATCAAATATATTTTTTAAAAATTGAGAAAAACAAAGTACAAATCACAGTATATGGTTTCTACCTACTAAAGAAAAATTTTATATTTCCTTGCCTCCCCTCTAGTGTTTGAAGATATTTTGTTTCCTTATAAATGTGAGTGTATTGACAAGTAACATGTCATTAGTGTGTGTGTAAAAAAACAGGCATGAGCAATCCCAGAGGTACGCAGTTTGAGTCTACCAGATATTCTGCTGGAGGAGGAGCAGTCTCCTTCTGTACCAGTCAGATCCAATTTGACGGCACACACACACATAAAATTCAAACAAAAAGACAAAACAGGCATGAAAATGTCCAGGCAAAGCCAGAAGAATGATTTTTTTTTCTTAATAATTTTATGAATATTTACTAATGCTTCCAAGACAGGAAACTAAATGTGGCACCTCATTTACAATGTCTCTTCACCAAAAGCTCCTGAAAGATTTCCAGAGAATGGTGTTAGTTACTAAAATCAAGAGGCAGTACTAGGGCCCATCTGTTTAGCCAGTGGTTCTTTGAACAAATCTTTACCTAGGGTGGGCTGTGCAGCAGGCACTGATGAGATCCAAGGAGAGAATGCTCAACAAAGTAGAGCTGGTCCTAAATGATGTCCAGTTTAGTGGCCAAGAGAGAAGCAATTAGGACTTCCCTATTAGCATTTTAGTAAGGGTTGTATTGAGTGTTCTGAGACACACAAGATACTCTAACTCAGAATTAGACATTTAGGAAGATATCCCCAAGGACATGACAACTAACTTCAAAGTAAGTGATATCCTAGAGGAGAGAGTGTGGGGAGGAAGGGACAGGAAGTGGGGGAACAATGTTCTGAAGTGAGGAGGGACAGATGAGCACTACGTGCAGCACAGAGGAGAGGGAGAGTGGTTAGGTAGGTGAGAGATGAACAACGAGCAGCTGGAGCACAGTTAGGTAAAAGTGAGACATGAACAATGAGCAGGTGGAGCACAAAAAAGAGGAGAGTGTGGTTAGGTAAAGGTGAGATGAATGAGCAGGTGCAGTACAGACGAGAGGGGAGAATGGTTAAGGTGAGAGATGAACAGTCAAGTATAAATCATTTAGAACTCTGGATGTAATTAATAAGAACATGACTTTATCCAAAGAGCAATGGGGAAGCTGTTATTAGTAGTTTCTAAGCAGGAAATGTCAATATAGGGCTAGGTGTGTGGAAAATGGGTCTGAGAGAGGCAGAAAAAAGAAGCATGAGACCTCAGCCAACACCATGTGAACAATTCAGGAAAGGTCTAGGGATATTTGTGCTGGGAAAATGGAGGCTGAAACATGGAAGAGTAGACAAAGTAAAGATATGAGAGAACACAGTGAACACCTGGATGAAGAAAAGAATGACCCAGCTTTGGTAATGTACATGGCAGCTCACTTCCTTGGGAGGGAAAAATACCAAGGAAGCAGATCAGAAATGGTGCCCAGGCTAAAAGAAGTGCAGTCTGAAAGATAGTGCATTTCATGTAACTGTGAGCACCCACCAGGCAGGTTGCAGAGTAAGGAGGTACCACTGCTGTGTAAGACAACTGGAGGTGGACATGGAAGTGAGACCAGCCTAGAAGAGTTTGTGGAATGAACAGGGGAAAGAAAGATCTCTGAGGAATGATGATGGAGGAGGCAAAGGAGGGCAAAGTCGCCAAAGTAGACACACCAAGGCAAAGACAGAGACAGGAGGTACACCACCACTGAGGTGGTGCAAAAAGTTCAAGGGAGATGTCAGGTGGCAAATACTAGCCAAAGACAGAGACAGGAGATGCACCACTACTGAGGCGGTGCAAAAAGGCCAAGGAAGAAGTCAGGTGAGAAACACTCACGGTTAAGTTAGGGAAGAACTGAGAACTTCTCATTAATTTGAAGAAAAAACAGGTAGTCAAAAGCTTTGACAAAAGTAGCCGCTATGGAAGTGGTAGTGGTGACAGACTGCAGTGAACTGAGATGTGAATGGAAAGGAAGGAAGGAGAATCAAGTACAAATAAACATTTTATGTTAAAATAGAAACCTATTTAAAATCACACAAGTAAGCTGTGTGTACTCTCAACCCTCTGAAATATACTAGGTTCTTAGATAACTTACTCTGTGGGGATGAGGATGGAAGAGTCTGCGCACAATAAAAGTTGTGGCTATGATACAAAACAGGATAGTTGCGACTATTTCCTTCCACCAGTGCAGGAGGAGGACAGGATCCTTTTTGCGAATATTCTTGTTGTAAGGCAGGTTGTCCAGAAACCGAACAGTGACCTGTGTGCTCCGCTTGCTCCGCTCCCTCTTGTAGTAAGGTAGATAATAACCATTATCTTCAAAAGAAAATAACAAAAAGTATTTTTTAAAAGGGGAACTGAAACAGGCCCATTTCTGTTCAAACTGCCCTTTGAGTTACAATATTGACTCTCTTTTTCTTTCATTTCATTTCTTCTTGAGTACATTTCAAACATCTATTTACTGTTGTGGTTTTTTCTTTTGCATTTTCTTTTTTAGTAAACAAATACATTTTTCCCCCTAAGTACCTTAAATTTTCTTTATATGGAAATGCAATATTGCAGAAAGTCATAGGGCCACCACACTTACTACCTTACTAATAATTCAATCCCTTAAAAAAAGAAAGAATCAGACAGTTTTCAATCTTCTTTCAGGATAATTTAAATTTCCCTTTCACTTAGTATTAATAAAATACCAAATTTTATTATCATTCATTCTTAACAAGCTGATTGATGGTTGTAGTGGTAAGAAATTGCACTGCAATCCCGAAAGCACATAGTTCAAATTATCGGCTGTTCTATGGGGGAAGGATGGACAATCTCTTCCTGTGCAATTAACTGCCTCTGAAAACCTGCAGAAGGGTCAGCTATGGGTCAGTTCTAACACGGTGGTATACAACAACAACAACAAAGGAAAACATTCCCACAATGTTCTCTGGTTCATTATGGGCCATCAAAAATTCATTCCACCTGGAAAGCAGCTGAGTTGAAGCCCCTTCTATGTTGCACAATTGTTATGTGCTGTTGAGTCGCCTGCGACTCATAGCGACCCTGTGTACAACAGCTCTGAAGCCTACCCTGTCCTGAGCCAGTCTCACTGATCCCAACACACCTATCCCCAATTGTCCTACTTATTACATCTCATCCAGGTTCTTCCTTCCCTGCTCTGTCCCTCCACTCTTCCAGCAAGATGTCCTTCTCCAAAATCTGGTCCCTCCTGGCCAAAAGTATGTGAAACAGAGCTTCAAAATCCTAGCTTCCACTTGTTTGTTTTCTTGGCAGTCCATACTCAAAGGCATCAATTCTTCTTCTGTCTTCCTTAGTCACTGTCCAGCTTCCTGATGCATACTTTTTGGACAGATTATGCAATTTCTCTTATCCCCCTTTTCTTTTTTGGTAGATTTACTTTTTTAAAGAAGAAAAAAACCCCAGCAAGGTACAAACTGGGTATTAAACTTTTTTCTTGCTAAAGATGTGATGTACATGTTCATTAGTGTCATAGCAAGCATTTGATTAAAACAGAGTTAGACATAATATTAAAGCTTTTTTATCACCTACTCATGTTGAGCTAGGCAAACCCCCATACCCATCTCAGAAGAGATTCTGATACGAGGAAAAATTTGCAATCATGGGTTTCCCCAAAGTCCCCATCCTAAAAGACAACCTCACAAACAGAAAGAACTGTATACAAACTTGCACAGACATATTGAACATGCTAAATAAAAAGAATACTTGTTTTTAGCAAAGCATATACTCATTGGTACCCAGCAAAATTGTTGTTGTTGTTGTT